GGGAACAACTGCAGTCGCTCTTCAGGACAATGAAAGAGCAAGACAAAAACAAGAAAGAGGAGAGCGAGAGAGTGCGAAGACAGCAGCAACAGACAGAGCTAGAGAAACAGAAGGACTGGCAGAGAGACCAAGAGAGACTGGTGAGAATGCCTCTGCAAGCCTTGCTTTACACTGGAATAGCCACAAACTGGGATTTAACCCTGTGGATGGTGTTCTTTAATTGAAATGCTTCCTTCCCTTAAACAAAGCATTCTGAAAAACACATTAGATGAGCTCTTTTCATGCATTTCTCAAATGCAGCTGTTTTCAGGGGCTTGTATCTGGGTTTATTGTTGACCGAAGTTGATCTTTATGACTTTGCCTGTGCTGGGAATTACATGTTGTTAACAGATAGAGAAGAATATGGCTTAAATGCAGAACAGAACCAAACTAGGTTTCATGTCATTACCCTTATTTTGAGCTAGACGACTAATTATGGTTTGTGACAGTACCAATTTCACCCTTCTTGTTTCTCAGCTCTTTCACTTTCATTAGAGGAGGAGGGAGGCTTTGCAGGCTCTCTGGAGACTTGTCAGTCACCACGCCTGGAAATGGATGGAGAAAATGCCCACTCCAGAGTCCTTAAACGGTTTCCCAGTGGCCCTGGAAGGCAGTACTGTAAGACTTCCCCTATAAGTGGTCTGCGAGTTAAGGAACACTGAGATAGATGTGCTAGTTAGGTGTGATGCTTTTATTTGCAGTCTTTGTGTATATTAAAAAAAAAAAATCAAAAAATGCTTATATGTATGTATGTGTATATATATGTGTGTGTGCGTGTGGGTATATGTATAAGATGCAATTAACTACTTATTCTGTTCAAATAGCAAAACTTGGAACAGCAGCACCAGAGGGATGAACAAAGAATTAAAGAGCTGCAGGATATACTGACAATATTAGAAGAAAAAGAAAGAAATCTTCCATCTCCAAACTGTCGGCAAGACCTGTTGTGTACCTTAAACAAAGATCGAAATGTCAAACAGCCCATGACAAAAGAAACTGAAAAATCACATTTGCAACAGCAGCAACAACAGCTAGAGAAGATAAGACAGCAGTTGCTTTTTGTAGCTGTGCACCTGAATGATTTCATATATAAAACTTTAGATAAGTGAGTAGTTGCTCATAAAATAGTAGTTTTCTTTCCATCCTGCTTCTGAACTTGTGTGGGTCATGGCTGAGAGCCCTGTGCTGAAGGGAGCGAGTGCTATATCTGCTTACAAGACTCAACTTTGTGTGAAACCATGGTTTCCTGGAGGCAGCAGACTCTAGTTATTGTCATCCCACTGCAGTTATTCCCATTAGAAACTTATATGCCTGCATTTGAACTAGATCTGTGAAGTGACCCTGCTTAAGAAGAACAACTCCAAAAAAACCCTACTGGAAAGAATTATTTGGTAGTTTGGCAACTGCAGCAGTCTAATTAGAGAGCAATCAAAAAAACAGGTTAATCAACATATCTGCAGGTTTAGAATGGGAAACTCCATTGAGGATGGCAGGGACAAACTAGGGGTCAGGAATGCGTGGCCAGATAGCAATAATTTATTATTTCTTTGGCAGCAGAGTAAAATACTAGTGATGTTTTGCTGCAGCCTGAATTCGCGTAACAGAATTTCAGACTGGTATAAAATACAGACTTCTGAATAAATCCTTATGCAGCACTATTTAGAAATTCTAGTCTTACAAATTAACAAAAATTGCTATTTTCTGTTTGTATTCATAGTATTTTGAGTAATGAATAGCACATAAGTACAGCCTTAAAACTTAAAGATCATCCTGTGGGGAAAAGGAATGAAGTGTACATTAACATTACTACAAATCGACTTGATAATGAAAAAGTATTTCTGTTTAACAGAACAGTTAACGACTGGTCTACATCAAATGATGAAGCTGTAGCCTCTTTACTGCAGACGTTGAAGGAACTAAAATCAGATTTATTGTCTCCTTCTGCATCTCAGGTAAGGAAAACAGCATATATTTCTTGTATTTGTTGATTATCAGTAAGTTGTTCTGTATTCTTTGGGTTGCATGTCAATCACATGTAGTTGATTGATTGACTTTATTCCCCCCCCGCCTTCCTTTTTTGGTAAACATTCTGAGGAAAATTGTGCTTTGCCTTGGGGATGGGAAAAAGATGTACTCTTGTACTCACACTGTCTTTATATTAACATATTTTAGTATCGGACTCTTGGTTTTTTGTTGTATTGCAGAGTCTGCTTGTGATCGCATTTTTTTTTTCCCTAGATGTGTAATATGTCCACGGATATCAGACCCTGGGATGGGTTGCTGCTGTTTCTGTATGCATCCAGAGATAGTTGGTTTTTGAGCAAATCATCAAGTAATTTTCGAAAAGCTCAACAGTGGTTTGTCATCTCAGGAGGGGTGCTTTGACTGATGTTTGCAGTACTGCAAATATTTTATACAAGCCTAGGGTTTATCAAAGACTGAGCTCAGGTCTATTCATACAAAATACATCAGAAAAACACAGCTTTTAAATTCCATCTTATTTACCAGATAACTTTGCCCTTTGCTATCATTTATATCTTTCTCTTGTAATAAAGAAAGAGATCTTCAACCACATTGCAGCCCTTTCAGCCAAAATTTTGGGATTTAAGGCTAACTAAAAGTCTTGGCTCTGTTCAATGCAGCCTCTCTCTATTCCCTCAGCTGCTTGATAGCAGAGCCCCAGAAAACACACCTTTGGGGGAGTTCTGACTGTCTGGTACCTGAAGAGACTTTTGTAACTTCTGTCATTCTCATGTGGTCTGTAATACAACTCTGATGTACAACAAGCTGGCTAGGCATGCTGCAAGCTCTCCCTGTGTCTAACTGCTTACAAAATACAATAATATTTTCCTTCAGTCGCCTGTGCAGCCACTTAGGTGGTTGCCAAATGGATCATCTCCGGCCTTCAGGAGGGGGATGTAACCTCTTCCCAAGTAGGTGTTCATGGCGTTATTTTGGCTAAGCCTGTGCTTTGGAAAGCCTGTGGGGGAACAAGACAACCTTATGGCTCTGTTTAAATTCAACTTGGCAGAACTCCCTCCAGAGCTGAGCTGTTTTTCTGGCTCAGCTCCCTCCAAGTTATTACTCTATGGGAAAAGAAAAAATAGTTTGGGTTGTTTTTCCTCTGATGCCATTAGGTCTTCTGTGTTAGACACTGCCATGCCAGTGAAAGCTGTATGTAGGAGTGCTTCAGTTTATCTAACTTCAGTATAAAAACCTGAAATTGAATAGAACATCTGTGAATTAGATAACAGGACAAGAGTGCAGAACAGGACAAGAGTTTAACTTGGACAGAAATAAATACCTAATTTCAAAACAACACTGAAGGTAGTGTTAGATTCTTGAAGCATTTTTTTTTTAACTCTGAGAAATGTTAAGAAGAAGCTGAGAAGTGGAGAGCCTTTGCTTTCAGCAATTTTAAAGAAGTTGCAAAGTCAAAAGGGAGGCAGATGGATTATGTGCCAGGAAGGCATGGATAGCATTGGAATCCCCATTTGTTGCTGTATATATTGCAGGCAGTAAAAAGACTTAAATGGTTGTGGTTTATTAAACTTCATTATAAAAGATTTTTTTTACTTGACAAGTTGTGCTCTTCAGAGAACAAATGTAAATGGCATGTGTTAGTACTGGTTTATTAAACTTCATTATAAAAAATTTTTTCTACTTGACAAGTTGTGCTCTTGTCATAGAGAACAAATGTAAATGGCATGTGTTAGTACGGTATTAATACCTTATTAAGGTATTAATAAGAAATGACTCTTGAAAAAGTTCAAGCACCTAATAAGGTTGTACTAAAATAAGTTGCTAGGAGAAATTGGGGTCAGTAGTGTGTACTGGGTGCTCTAATGTACAAACTTTATTTCAAGGGATAAACCATTAACCACTGCAAAAAATACCTTTTGTTTCTCTGTTCTGATGCATCCATGCAGTGATGTAACTGTTGACCATAAAATTGATAGTCCATACAAAGAGAGTTATGAAGACAGAATTCTCTCCCACAAAGAATTGGACCTGGGGTTGTGGGTCTCATTCCTACAAGAGATGACGTACCACAAAATGGAATTTTTCAGAACTGAATGTGACTTTTTCATAATTATGTAGATGCCTCACAACATGTTTTTGTGCGTGCATATACACCGACATCTTTCTTCACAGTTTCTGTACTGCCTGTGGATGTGGAAGAAAGCCACATGATTTGGTTCTGTTTCCAAGTGTTTGGGAGACCCTCTGTTATTAAAGGGAATAGGATTCTTCTAAAGTTCATCAGACAAATCTGTAGAGAAGGGGAGCTTGATTAACAATTAATTTGATACTTCTTAAGAAGAGTTGATTGTGTGTTTCAGTTTCTCATCCTGCTGTTTGACACCTGAATGCCATTGCTGATTTTTCAGGCTCATTATTTTTATGATTTAATTTGTGCATAAAGTTAGGTTATTATTCAGTTTGAGATGTTTGTCTGTGGATGTAATGTCCAAAAGCTGTCACAGCTCACTTCGTTTGGATTTCTTTTTTAGATCACATCTACGGATGGTACTGACTCTGTTCAAGAAGTGGAAAGAGATGCTTGGCAGCGAGAGAGAAACATTTTGCAGAATGCACTGAAACAGGCTGAATCTGAACTGGCTAAAGCAACTGTTGAAACTGAAAACAAACGAGTGGTAGAAACTTACAGTCCTAAGGTAAAATGATCGTGATGGCCAGCAAATGGGCTGTCTGGAGCTTGGTGAGCGAGCAATGCCATAGCCATTAGTATGTCATTGGAACCTTTGGCACTTGGTTTTCTTTCGCTATCTTGCCTGTTGTACAGGTTTGCTGTTACAGAGAATGGTTACCAACTCAAGATCATAAAAACCTCTGGAGAATTCAGTCCTTAGTAGTATTGTTCTTGGGCATTGCCTAAGGGGTTAATGTCACATGTAGAACAGGTAATTTAGTAATTCTTTTTTTTTTTTTTT